AGTCGACTAACCTCGACAAATCTTTCAAACATTGTCGTTGGAGATATCGAGAAACATTAAAGAGTAGTTCAACCTCTTTTGTAATCAAACCAAGTGGTATATCAAGATCACAACAAGGAGATTGCCCTTCTCTATCAAATTATGTAACAATGGTAGGTAAATCGATACCGAATTGCACATGAACTTATGTACACTAAATCTAAAAATACACCTATTTAGGCATAAATATATAGGTACTTAAGTACTATTTAAACCCAGACATATGTTATACATCTAGTATGTCTATAAGTATGAGTTGGTCGTATAAAACACTATTATTATCATGGTTTTATTTGAGCTAAATCTGAATAAGTCAGATGTTGCAGACATTTTTGAAAATCAAGTATCTGAAATGGAAACCATAATGTATATATATCTAATATATATACATTTCATTTCATTCATATATTAATACGAGTATACCAATATTATAATTGTTATAACTTACAATATAATGTGTATTATAAATTGTCTCGTATATTTAGCATATTATACAAATATAGTTCGACTTAGAATGTTTTATAAATCATTTTCATTTGACATGTGCTCAACAATTAATTACACATCATGACTATTTCATAAAAAAGTATAGTATAATATTTTAATTAAAACCTAAAATATTTTACATTGTCTCACTATTTGTTTTACATTTCTCCATATTTCTTATTTTCTACTTTCTATTGTTATCCAAATGGTAACTGTCAGTCACAATATAAAGAGTACAATCAAAAACTTCGTTACTACTTGTAAAGCAAATCATGTCTTAGAAGTACACTGTACAGTAAGTTATACTTCAAAAAAATTAAAATAAAAGTAATATTTCTTTAAATATAAAAGTTCTTTCCTCGTTCGTTTTATAATTAATGAAAACTACAAAACTGTGAAATTGTATTTAATTTTAATTAAAAGTATGTTAACAATAATACAATTACTAGTTATTAATTTATTTGAATAAGTTAAAAGTTAAATGTTATGGTAAAATATAGATAAATTATTAATATCTTTTTTGAACAAATGTATTATTTTGGAGTTTCAAATATTATATCTAAAATAAGTAGGTAGGTAAAATAAAATAATGTAACTATATTATAAATATGAAATACCTATATTATATATATTAACTATCGCTACAATTCAATGATATATTTTAATGAGACCTCGAGTAAATTTGAGTAAAACAAAATAAAATAAACATTTTTTACTCAAATTGTGGTAGAATGCTCCATTGCAGGAATTGAATAGTCATTTTTTTTCAAAAACAATATAAAGAATTTACTATCTTATCTATATTATGCTATTCGGTAATGCTATAGCGTTACCGACCAACCAACCTAGTAGTTTCCACCGGTTTCATTGAACATCGAAACTCAAAAAGTTTTATTTACTGCAATAGCATAATAATTAAAAGTTTATTTTATACAAAATTTAACCCCATATTATAACTTATAATTGTAGTATTGGTGTACTGTGGTTACCGCTTATTGAACTAACGGTTATTTATAAATAATTGGCCATTCGACACAAAATCAGGACCGATTCGCAAGTAAAAAAAATATCTTATTATACTCCTTGCGAGTCTATGATTCGACAGAAAATCATAAATGCATCATTGGTAAATGAGAATTCAGATAGTCAAATCTCAATTAATAACTGATAGAGTTTAATTACATTTTTTCAAAAATAATATCTGTTTATTTTTTGGGTGCCATTTTGTTTTAATGACTCATTTGATTAATGGAGTTAAAGTCTGGTCCCAAAGTGAGTCCATTAAAAGGTGATAATCGTATAAATGAAAATCCCAAAGTTACATTAAATTAGTATACACAATTAAATGTTATAAATATTAAAATTAATTTAACTATAAATTATTATTTCTAAGATGATTTCAATTGAACCAAATTAGCTATACTAAACAGAAAAAAATATTAACAATTTAAGTGTAAAAAATGATAATAGAATAACCCCTAAATTCAAAATATATTAGTATATAACTTTATACAAACATTTTTTTTTCTATACACAATATTTTGTATTGCTTTATTTTGATAACTACAAAAGTATAATATTTTATGTATATTAAGTAGATAAAGAATTTACTAAATGGTATCATTCTGAATTTGATATAATTATATATTTAGATATACATGTATTTACATGCAATACATAATAAATATTTATATTTTATAAGTGAGTGGAATAAATTATTTATGGAGCTCGTAACCCGTTTAGACAGTTGATTATATTACATTAGGGATTTCGTGAAATGCAAAAACTTAAACAACAACGGTTATGTGCAAGAAAGTTCTTTGTTTTATTTCATATTTATTAGGTTAGCTTATTCAGGTAATGTCTCCGAAAATTGTGTTGTGTCAAGGCATGAGAAAATAACCTTGGCTCTCAAACGTAATATTATTTTTGTTGAATTATTTATGTAAGAAAAGTAGTGGACATTTAGCCTACTCAATTAACATTTATTTAGACATTTACATTTATTTTATATGATAGCATACACACTACCCTAGTATTATAACGTTTGAGGAACAGTTGAATCAGATGCGCATGTAGCTACCTATTCAATAACTATTAATGATGGATGTGCTCTTGCGTTGTTATTGAAACCTGTCGTTATTCTATACATTTCAATATTTCATTAAATGACTCAGTGCATAGCTGCATAATAAACTGTATAAGCATTCTCTTCAAAAGAATTATATTTTGTAGCCTTTAGACTGTAGGTTATCATTCCTAAAGCCATATCAACATTGAATAAATTATTGGTTAAATATTATTAAAATATTGATATTAGTTTTTTCAGGAATAAAATATGTGTTAATTAAGATCAAAACGGGTTTTGACGTAGAATCTATAGTTGATTTAATACTTAAAGTAAAAAAAAATGTATAAATATTTAAACATTGTAAATATTGTAATATCTGTGGATACGATGAGATTTAAATTATATGATGATATGATGATTATTGAGTATGTCAGATGAATTTACTGAGATCTCTCATTATAAATCATGCAACTAAAATTTGATGTATTACATATTATGTGCATAGGGGTATATTAATATTATTATGGTGTACTACTACTCATTGGTCACAGGTGTACAACTTTCTCACGACTAAATACAATTACACCCGTTTGAGCAACCACATCACTAATCAAGTATGCCTTGAACTAAAGCATACAATAACAACTGTCATCAGTTTTATCGTTGTATGAAAATACTAAAATATGGATACATAATACGAGTTCTAATACAACATTTTGTTTCAGACAAAAATATTGAAATATAATATTATACCTAATGATAATACTTTAGTTGCTGATCATCGATAAATAAACACATACGGATACCATACAAATATAAACTCTAACGATACAAATAAAAATTATATTTAGTTTGGTTTTTTGTCTGCATAAATAACACAAACAGTATTTATTTGAAATATAATATCAGGCATATAATATAGTATAGTGCAGTGGTCTCAAACACGTGGCCCGAGAACCCTTTCGATGTGGCCCGCAATAGTTCGAAACTTTTTAATATTCATTATTATTAATAAACGATAACATTTTTTTTTTAATTTTACATTTTAGTATTTTAGTATTTATTTAAACATCAATAATTACCAATGCCTTATTTGTATAGTTATTAGCTTATAGTTATTTATATCAAGAGCTTAGTTTGTTTAAAAAATAAAAAAAGCTCTTCGAAAATGTTTTAAATGCGAACCTTTGATGTATAAATATATAACCCACTGGTAATTTGAGTTTTAGACCACTCGTATAGTGTATTGTAATGTATAGTTTATTTATATTTTTTATATTTTTTGGTTTTGTCCTACTGGTGCAAAAGTTGAATGATATTGGAATTTAAACTCTATGTACTGGAAATCTAGATTTCTTATGATTAACTTTATCCAAAAATTTATTATATAGGTAGTTATGAGAGTAGTAGGTGGTAAAATGAACACAGCAAGTGGATAAATGGATATGTGCATTTAATGAATACGTGTATTACCTTCTCAGGCTATATTATAATATGTATGAAAATATCACATAGGTAATGGAATTGTGCCAAAAATTTCTTGAAAATAATTTAATTTCATGATTATATGTCTCTCAGTGTGACACAGTAATACATTTCTAAGTATGCAGCATATTTTATATCATGTTAATGATTAAAAGAACAATGTATGATAAAGTCAATGCGGGTGGTATGAATAAATTACATTTATGTAAAAGAATATAATTTTTTTTTAGTGTGAATTAAAATGTCTCTTAGTGCTCAATAGCTAGATCAAATTTAAAAAATATATATAAACATGGATAAAAAACAAGCGTTTTAAAATTAAGTCCGAATGTATTAATTTTATTTAATTGTAACAAAACCATCTGTACTGCTCATTTATACAGATGTATGTAAACATATTTTGGCCATTTCATAATTCATCAAAAGGGGCAATTTGGGACCGATAGTTATGTAGTCATCTGTCTCTTTGGGCAACATTGCCAACCACTATCCGATCCCCGAAAGGCTGGAAAACAGTGGATTTTAGAATCAGTTAGGAAAATATTATGGAAATTAAAGTCAATTTTAATCAAATTAAACTCGCAACATAAAATTTCGTAAAGAAAAAAAAATGACGTGTATTAAAATAAAATTAAGTTAGTGACCAGAATAACGATTTGTGTAAAATATGAAGGTATACTGAAGACTATATAATAACATATGGAAAAAAATACAATATATTTTTTTTTTTCAATTATCTGATAAAATAATAGGTGCAGATTTGGATGATATAGTAATAAACGATACATTTTTCGTTTGAATTGGTTAGTAGACATTGTACACATTTTGACTACCTAAGATTTGTTCTGCCTGAAACAGTAACCATATTCGAGTGATGTTTTCTATGATTTAAACATTGTTTTGTTTTCTCTTTTTACAGGTCTCCCTTCTAGGGAATCAGTACCATCGAGTACAACAACAGCTGAAGGGGGGATTGGTGAAAGACAACATGGTGTTCTTCGCGGATCATCGTTGCCATCTGAGAACAGTGGTGCAGAAAATTCACCAAAACCTACTGAACGTCAAGATGATAATGTAGCTATGATGGTACCGATCGCACTTGAGTGTGCTACAGTCGAACCAGTTGCAATAGACAATTGCATTGATACGTTAAAAAAATCTGACACGGACGACAAAGCAGACGAGAACCACAATGTGGCAGTTGCATCAGCGAGAATCGATGAATCAAACGTAAGTGATGAGCAGCCAATAGAAGAAACCAGCACACCAGAGCAGAACAAAGAACCTGATCACGTCCAATCAGACCTCAAACCCAAAATAGAGATAGAGAATACACCGGCAGTGGATCAAAAAAATGAAAAGTACGTTGAAGAGACATCATTGTGACAGGTATATAAAAAGTAAGTGCTGATACAAATAATTCCAGAGATTCAAAAGACCAGGAACCGGAACTGGACACTGAGTACCGTTTGACCATGATACACAGCGTACGAGAGGCTGTGAACAGGATTTGTGAACAGGCCGTGGAGAAGACCGCCGCCATAGTCAGGAACAGAGGTACGAACAAGCGCAGTAGCAACTCCACGTTGACGGGCTCGATCAAAGATCGAGATGAATCCGAGGCAGCAGATAATGCTAGCAGTGAATTCTCATTGCCACCGCCACCGCAACAACATCCGTTGGACTCGGTGAGTTGTGCGAATATGTCGCATAGAATTTATAAACTAAAAGATGTTCAATAACAAATTCGATGTAAAACTAATGTAGAAAATATATATTATATATGTATAGGTTTACGTCGAGTGTGATTCCAACTACGTGATATTGCAGGGTGGGGGAGGGAGGCATAGCAGATAACGTAGAGACGAAGTATATGGGGACGACTAAGATGTAGTGTACAACAATAACTAGCTACTTAAACATTTAAACAATTTTAACAAACACTACAAATTATATGAAACACTTTTATCTTTCGATTAACAAAAAGAGATGAAACTATTAAAATAAGTGATCAATTGACAAATTGACTGAAAGCTTCATGAGAAAATATAGTAAAATTGATACTATTTTGTTGTTTTTACTAACTCATTTGTTTCCCAAGACTAAAAATCACAACAATGTCCATACCTAAAAATGCTCTTTACAATGCTCAATTACTTTGGCATTTGATTCGACTTCAATTTTGTAATTAGTGGTGTTGCAGTTTTTGTATATTCTTAATATTATGTTATAACTTATTATAGTCACCAAACTGAAAAAACTTATTCAATATTTATGTTCTAAATTCATAAAAATAAAACACAATTAAAATCAGAAAATTCAGTTCAGTACCTAACACAGAAAGTAATGAGAGAAAAATATACTCAGCAAAGTTGAATTACTATTTAATGTATTAACTTACAAATGTTTATGAAATCAATAAATTAAATTGACTTAATTAAATTTATAATCGGCTTAAACAATATTTTCAATTAGTAAAATACAATTATTTGTATGTTCAGTAGGAGGTGAATGAATTGAAATATACTATTTCAAAAGCATAAAACCCGTTCTTTAAATATTTAGTTAATGCATTGACTTATACTTATAATATTATATATACTTAGGAGTTTTAATTTTTAATATTATAATAAATAATTTATTGTATTATTTTGTGCGACAAAAAATATTCCTCTCTTATTTTATCTCAATATATTTTTAGTCAAATAAATTAAAACATAGTTGGCTGCATATTGCATGAATGTTATGCATTTTCTTAAACACAACCCGTTAAATAAGAACATTACGAAATATATATTCATTGCGCATCATTTAAAACTGGCATTTCTGTTCATCGCGATTCATGAAGTTCATGTGGTTTTACTATGTGACGTAAGACATTGCACCAGAAATAAATACAATTACTATATTATGATATTAGACTTGAATAATAAATAAACAATAAGTTTCCAATAAGGGTATATAAATCGTGCGTTTTCCAAAGAAATATTATTTTGAAACCTAGACCATAATATTATTGTGGAACCATAATAGTTTCAGAAGAAATACCCACCCTTGTTTTCTTTTATTAGTGTAGGTTTATAGAAACATTCCTGGAAATTGTCTCTTTTGTAACAATATTACGTTCTGTAAGTCAGTAATGACTTTAAAATAAAAAAACTTTTGAATAAAACATTTGAGATTAATTTAATAATTCCTATGCCTTCAAATATAATATGAATGCAATAATAATATATATATAACAGTATATTCTATTTATCATTTAGAATATCCACACAAAACAAATTTAGTATGAATTAATTGCTATGCTTAGTTGTATTTGTGTTGTAGTTTTTCTTATAAAGTGAGTAGTTAACCGGCGAGAGTTATTTACCAATCTTTTGATTCATTAAAATAAAACATTACAAAAAAAAATCATTTTTATCATATCTTGAAAAAAAATTAGAATATTTCAAATATCTTTAAATAGCTTAATGTAAATATGTTGAAAATATTATTGTATGTAGAAAGTTTTAATTAAAGAAATGTCGAATATTTCACGTTTTTATATTTTTTTGAGTCTACGAAAACTGGGATTTAAATGCATATAAAAAATGTAACTATAATCTATTGTAATTTCAATATTTTTTAGTCACCGTAAGAAAAACCTTTGAGAATTCGTCTGTAACTTATTGAAGCTGTATGACTAAAATATTTTATTAACATAAATCAAAAAAAAAACACGATAAACAGAAAACGTCAAATTTCTATAAATATTTTAAAAAGTCAAATTTATTTTGATAAATACTGGGAAAGTATCTGCTAGATTCAATTTTCTACCGATATCTACCCCGTAAGTTGAAAATTTTATTTTTTTCTGATCAAAAATTAGTGGAATAACACAAATAAAAAATAATAATAATAATAACATACATTATAATGCATTATATTGTATTATAATACCAACATAGTTTGAGCAGACTTGAATTTAACCTGACCTGAATTTCGAGAGTCCTTCAATATTTTTGGGCCCTCTCTTAACAAGACATTTACATATTAACCAGTGGTATATTCAACCAACTTGATGGGTGTTATAATTACCAAGTTACATAAATATTTCTAAGATAATCTCATTGTTCATTTATTATTTTCACTTTTGTAATCAATAACATCTACCCGTTATTAAAATGATAATAAACTATTTCTAGCATATTTAAATATTTAATTTTTTATCAAGAAATATAATATTTTTTATATTTGTTTAAAATCTCTTTTGTGATAACAAATAAGGGCTCTATGCTATGGAACTTAAACTCAGGGCCCCAATTACAACATTTTGGGCGGTGCCTACGCACACCCAGCACCCCCGGCCACTGTACGCACGTCTACGAATACCAATGTCACTCTGTTCCGAAACTAAAAATTAAAAATCGTTGATATTGATTGAATTTTGAACTTATCTACAATTATCACTAAACATTTTCTGATATCCTTAAAGTATTTGAGAAAAAATTTTAAAATCCCTTAAAAGCAGAACTATTTATGCAAGAATAAAATAGGTACCGATATTTTTAAACATTACAGTAACTATCAACTAATATAAGCTTAGTACAAGATATTATGATTAGATAAAAATTTAGTTTCATAATATTATCAAGTTAAACATTTGTGGGCATAAAGCAGGCAGGTATATTATTAGCCGTTTCGAATAAAATATTCCATAATGCAACTATATAACCTTCGGTGTTAAATCATTTGGCACTTTAAAACCATTTAAGCTTCATTATCATAAATATTCACTATAAGGAACACGTCACTAAAGGATGATTGAACTACCAGAGTCAAGTCATTTAACCTTTATCGTGGTATAACTCATAATACATTGATCCATTAATAAAATTACCGCTATATCATAAGCCTTTAGAACGCTCCTTCCAAAAAGTACAACTTGTAAAAAAAAGTCTAAAATTAAATTAAATATATAAATAAGTAAAAATATTTACTTTTAAAATATTTTTAATGTAACCAAATTGTTGTGGTTAGAGTAATAATAATAATAGTATTCTTTTAAAAATAAAAAAAGGTTTCATGGAAAAAAAAAATGATCAATCAAAATAAATGTATATTAATAAATTATAGCGGAGTAGGTTTAGGTAAAAATAAAACATGGTACAATTGATCGATGATCATCTGCATTATCCTAAGTTATTAAATTAAACTTACACTTATATTTTATAACTGAAATCGAACAAATAGGTAATTTGTTATCAATAAACGTTACACGGAAACAGGTTCATGGAATTAATTGAAGGAATTTATCAAAAATGGTTTTATATTTTGTTATGTACCTACACATTATCGCCGATAATATATTCACTAGATGCAACGGCTGTGTGATTTCTAGATTTTAGTTTTAAATATTCTATAATTTATTGTTTTTATTCTAAAACATGAACATAATTATGGTACTTATGGTACTATATTATGGTACTTATGTTATGTACTTAATTGAATACAAATTCCAAATATGATATAAGTCGGGTCAGTAATAACTTAACTTGACTGTAAACAGTGCTAAAATGTTTCTACACATTGACTTCCTATAACGCTTTATTATTTGTAATTATTTGGTACAAAATGTAATATATTTTTTGATTAAAAATCTTTGGAGTACACATTTTTTCATCATTTAATTATAAAATATAATAATATGATGGAATAATTATGCATTATTTAATAAATAATATTTGGATATTGTAATATTTAACTTGTGTTTTAATCATTTTGTCCTTGTTACCAATAACATAACCGAGCATGTTATAGGGTCCAACAGGTCAAGAATCTTCATGGCCGCCACCACCGTCTCTTTCTGAAGCAGAAGAAGAACGAACCATAGCTCCTGGTTATTCATTTGACTTACCCGACCCACCGACAGAAATGGATCAGATGGATTCTGAGACCGATAAACTAGACATTTCTGATGAAGAAATGAAAGCCACTGGTTTGCCATCAGATGATGACGAACAAATTGATGCAGAAGCTGGTAGGTAGATCATTCTAGTAAAGCAAAATATGTAGTAATTTAAAAAGTAAAAAATACCGTAAAAGAAATCAAAATATTTTGTGAAATTATTTGATGGTTGTAATAATTACTTAATCGTCTAGAGTAGTTTACTACAGTAGAGGAACATAGACTATAATTAGTTCATTTGTTTTGTGGTTTTAATTTATATTATTTATGGAATGTTTTTTAGTTTGTTTTTTTTTGTTTTTAATTTTAATATATAATATAATCCTTGCCATGTCTTACATAATTTGCATTATAATTTGTGTACGATTGTATTCCAAAAAAAAAAAATATTTTTATAATCAAAAAATATAGCACATATTTATTTACTAGAGCAACACAATTTGTGGCATTAACGTTTTGCTATTTATTTTAATTATGATTTTACAGGACTATACCTTTCATACATAATAATTTTCTTAGATCCGTGGTTCTCAAACTAAAGTACGTTAAAAGCCACATGGTGGTAATTAGAAGCCACATGTTTCTACTGTATACGGAAAATAAATATGTCGTCTTTACCTAGGTACTAACGTTAGTGACGAATATAATTATATTTTATATTTTGAGTAAATTATTATCATTATTATGATAATTGTATAACTGTTATCCTTCAACCTCGCCACCTCTCAATACATCAAATATAACTAAACATGACATATCCTATCTAATTTTAAACTTATAATTTCATCATTCTCATTTAATTAAATTAATTTTTTGGATAAATAAAAATGTTTATACTTTAATAATTTATTTTTATTTTTTACCAGTGAGCACTTTTTAGTAAGTACATAAAATACAAAGCAATTAATTGAATTACATAAAAGTCATAAGATACAATTTATTCTCATTCAAGGGGTCCAGAATTGTTAATTTCATAAACCTATACCAATTGGTTCTCGTAAGACATATAATTGTTAGAGCATAGTATAGAAGTGTGAAATTGAGCATCTAAAATAAGTTGGTTGAGAAAGAACTCTAAAATAAATTATGCTAAAAAAATAAGAGTATTTTTTTTTTTTTTATTAACGTTATATCAACTGTTAGGTAATGAAGAAAGATTAAGCTGGTTAGCGATAAGCGTGTAATTGTGGTCTGCATAATGTTTTATTAAAGAAATCTCATAGATCTGAGAAATTTAAGTTGAACCCTTTCCAACAGTTTTGAGTCACCGGAGTTGATGGATCCCTGGGTAAGAATTAAACCAAAATAGAACCCGAGTGAATTAAAGTATCTTAACTAAAATTTGGTGGTTAACAATATAAAATGTTGTAGCGTATTTCATATAAATAGTATCCATTTGGTAGTACCTTTGTTTGAAAGACATCCATGGCCCATACTAAATACTATGTTACAGGCGATCGTAGAATGACCAGTTCTGAACCCATGTTGCTCTTTCATATGTATATTGCTAAACGAAGAAAGAATTCTACTAGGGACCATTAATTAAAACAATTTAGAGATGTATAAGGTAGAATAGATAAATGTATATAGTTGGAAAGGTTAGATATATTACATAGCTTTAGAACAGAGTTTATAGAACATAGATTTAATATTGATAGAAAGGTTACTTCTGTATTTGACTTAAGTTGTAAGTAGGCAGGTATAATATGCTATAAAAACAACCAATGGCAAATTATATTTATTCAGAGAAACCACAGGTTCTAAAGACCGTTTAATTTCGATACTGAACTTAAAAAATTATATCTACCTAGGAGTTCAACATAGCGTTTTTCTGATAAAAGTGATCCAGTGCATAATTTCCGGATGTACTTTGAGCGTTCTAATATTTTAGCACTGCAATTATTACCATTTAAATACGTACAGTGGACATATAACTAATATTTCCACTTTTGGACATATAATGACAATATTTCTAGACGATTTTAAACAAAAATAATAATGATTTTTCAATATACTATGAGAAAAATGAGAAAATGTAAAAAAGTAATATTTTTGTAGGCAACATATTTTATTAATGTAAAAATATTACCTGTAAAAATATTATAATTCACAAGTTTCATCAACCAAAACACATTATTCAAATTAAACTGTTTAAGAGTTATTATAGTTTAATGAAAAATCGATAATTTTTTAGATTTATTTTACATCAATGAACGAACACAAAATTACAAACATAACAATAAATTAAATAACTAATACTCACTTATTTTGGACACAGACTATTTTAATATAAAGTTTGATTAATAACTTAGATTAATATTTATAAGAAAATTTAATAATGTTTTCAATTTATGGTGAACTGAATGATGATCACATCTATATGTAGGTTATGTAAAATATTTTAATTTGTTCAAAGTATCTACTGAGGTAAATGTTTTGAAATTATGATATTCAAAAGTATTTAAGAGTAAAAAACACATATTGTAATTCCTCGAATATTTAGGTACTATTAATTATAAAGTATAAAACGGCTTAAAATTTAAATACTTCAGTAACAAACATGTGCATGTTTTACATATTATACACAGCTACTGCATTTTTTGTTTATTTTATTTCAATCATTTAGATGTTCTCAACATAAGTAAACATGGTAATAACAGCCGAAACGGATTAGTTTCATTTAAATTATATTATTATAAGTGTTTTTATGTGAATTTAATTTCAGGTATATGGGCACTTCTTTTTCTGAAGATTTGTTAGAATATAACAAAATTCATTTTGATTATTTCTTAAATAATATTTCTCAAATTGACATCTTTATTTTGAAACTCTTACTCAAGTAAAAGCCATCGTAATGAGGTACGTTTCATAGCCGCATAGACATAAAGAAAATAATTTGACGTGACTTTAATAGGTGCCTGAACAGTCGTACTGAAATGCAGCCACGACATAAAACATGAAACTATAGGCATTTATATTTCTATACTTTTTATACTAAAGAAATATGGCGTTATTAAAATGGGTATTTGAGTATACGGTAAGGCTGACGTTCGATCGATATAGTTTCTGGCCTATACGCAACGTGTAAAGATCCATTACCTAATAAATTATGAAGAATAAAAACACACGCCCCTTTTTATCTGTTTGATTTATGTGATTTGAAGTCTTGGAGATAAAAATAAATAAATATACTTTATACGCGTATGTACACATTGGAACAGTTCAAAGTTTCGAGTAAAATATTGTAACCACACATTATACGAATATTTTAATATTATTAGATAGGTTGGTAACAATATGATATTATAATACGAAGATACTCAATAAAAGATACACTCATTTAATATGCAGACACAATCACGACTGGTGAAAATCAAAATTATCATTCTTATAACATATATACAAACACCGGTTAGTTAATAATTTTCGTGATTCTTATCACAATATTTTTTTGAGTTGATATCATAATTATAGAGCACAGCACGGCACAGGTATGATTTATCGATCAAAATATGTTCTGTAGCTCGTCCGTGACAGGTGTGTAGATCTTCTTGCGCCACCGAACGGACAATCAAACAATACGTTTCCTTAAAACTCGTCTCCAGCGTGTTTAAGTTCCATTAAATTTCCTTTTCATTACATTGTTTATATTTTTTTTCAGTTCGCACATTGCGTGTGTCTGTCCAATCATTTCATTTTTTTTTTGTCTTACACAACGCGCGATGTTAAATTGATACTTTTTAAAAACTATTGACCCCACTCGCGTCTAGAGTCAATTGATCGTTTGTCGTCGCATTACGATTGTATAATATCGTTGTCAGCCGCATATGTACAGTTGCTTAAACACAAGAGCACAGCTCAGTCTACTCGCACGCACGCACACAAACACTATAACACACACACACATACACACACTTGTAAATGCACCACACGACAAATATTGTAGTCTTCCATAGGGCGAAGCTGATCGTTTTCGACGTTACTACCGTCTCTTTCAAGTGAAACTACTTTTCCGGACACCAGACGCCCGACTTCCAGAGTGGTGCAACGGCCCTAGACTACCAAGTAACGATATATTTTACCTGCATAGGGATCACTTTAAGTACCTACCTACAATATTTTATTCTATTTTTAATTTGTTCGTCATGCTACGAAACAAAAATAACATAATAGGAACCAATCACGGTAGAAGTTTATTATTATCATTAAGCATAACTAATGCGTCCAAGTGATGGTTGGTGGATGTGGATTGGGCGTGAAAGGTGATGGTCAGAAAAGGACCGGACAGTTGGGCCGGGGTTTGAAAAATAATACGCGTTGCCTTACCCGATGGCCCTCCTGCGGTGGTCTTTGAAATTCTGTATTTTCTTTTTTTTTTTTTATATATAAATAAATATACCGAAACTATTCCCGTGTTGACCCTCCGAGTGAAATGTAAAAAAACCACCACCAGCGGGCGCTATCAACGAGATGTTTGGATGAATATTTAATTAGCTTTGCTGCGTTTTTAAAGGATGATTATTAATATTAAATGTTTAGCCAGCCTATGACTCGAGTGTTTCGTCCTTTGAATTACTTCGCATGGGAATATAATAATATATTCGAGAAACCGTCTCCGGTGTTGCGTATATATTATTACATCGACTTCGCGTGTTTTACTGAACTTTCCCGACCGCCGCAATAGCTGTCCAGTCTTTTTACTCTTCACTTCAAATGGATATGACCTTTTACATTAAACTCATAAATAGTATGTTTATAGCATTCTTTCTCGTGTAAAGACAAAGTTTGGCTTTAAGTCACAACTGAATGAACGACTTCGTGTTGCTCGCATGCATGGTTGAAAAATAACACTTTTTTAACAAAATAATAATGTAAATAGTATGTACAAATTAATCCAATTTTTTTAAAAACAATTTATTACCAATTTTTATTTAATTCTTGAATTGAAATACTAGAACACCTATATTGTATGAGTACTTGTTTCACTGACAACTAGGATTCGTATTACATTATATAGCAAGCCTATTAGTTACAATTTGTTGAACTTAAGATTATAAAAATATACTAATATT